CCCAGCTTATTAGAAAATATGAAAAGAAATGGGCCTTGAAATTTGCTGAGATTATGAGCCTCAGAAGAGGACTGAGTACGGGTGTAAAGGTTATTGGTAGTAGCACCTTATCCTTCCATAGGGAGGTGTCAACAGTCTTCATCCATAACAGACCCACTATCTTCCTATCTATGTTAATGAGGAATCACAAGCCAAATCACATGTTGTCTGAAACTCCCCAAGGTTTTCCAAATTTGCTCATGCATGTACTACCGAAGGACAGAATATGGCCCAATGTAACAACTTGATTCCATAAGGGGCTGATGCTTTTCCTGAAAAGCCCTGAAAGCCCTCAATTGCCCCGATGTTAAAAGGAGTTGACATGCCTGTGACACTTTGTACCTCAAAGCAGCATCCTGGATTGCATGTACTGCCATTGTATGTGAAGTAATGAAGCACTGCTATATGTGTTATTGAAATATGTTGTAAGGTTGGGAAACGCTCACAGCCAGACTTTCAACTGCAAACAAGATCACCCCAGACAGTGATAATGGCCAGTGAAGAAGAATCAGCTATCCTGGAGACTACCCAGAGAAGGGCATGTATAGCATGGGGACAATATATAACAATGATCTTCCCAGCAGCTACAAGAAAGTATAAATTAGGGATGAGGAACCTCAGGCCTGGGGGCTGGATGCTGCCCCCGGCTTGCCTAGATCCGATCCCTGAGGCTCAGGACCCTCCCTCAGCATTGTGGATTCCACTCTGGTGCTCCAGCCCTTCCACTCCCCGCCATCCCACTGTGGGGCTAGAGCAAACAAAATCTATAGCCTGGGCCCTCCTAGGCTCTGGTGTGCGAGGGGAATGTGGGGAGTGTCTTGCTCCTTCTCAGTCAGGGGCCACATCAGTGAGGGTTTTTATTTTTCCTTTTTGTTCCTCACTTGTGTGCAACCCCTGACTGATTTTTCTGTGGGTCAGTGGCCACCGACTCTAAAAAAGTTTCCCACTCTTGGTATAAATGAATGGCTGTGACATCATCACTTGGCCTCTCTTCCCCACAGCATCTCAACACCTGGAAGACCATCTGGAAGATAGAAGAACTGAAGAAGATTGGTCCCAGGCTGGAAAAGGAATCCAGCCTTTGTATTGAGAGACTGTAAGATACCTGTACCATCTATTAAGGTGAGAGACTATTTAATTTGAATCTTACTTAATCTGTTTAAGTGTAAATTCTCACTCTAAATTATTTTTTTATTTCTTAGCTAACTAATTCTGATTTCCATGCTGCTTCTTATAATCGCTTAAACTCTTTCTGTAGTTAATACATCTGTTTTATATTTTGATATTGTGTCTTTTGCTGAAGTTCTTGGAATCTCAGCTCAGATTACAAAGCCCAATTTATGTCTATTCCACACTGAGGGAGAGGCGCACTGAGCTTTACACTGGTCAGGTGTCTGCAAAGGAAGATTGTACAATTCTGGCATGCAAGACTGGAGAGCCGAGGGAAGAACTGACTGAAACCTCTCAACTGATAGTTCATGAGTGGCTGCAAGATCATTCATGTCATTGAACCGGGTATGTCCCTGCCTGTGGATGGCTGTGTAGTGCAATGCCTGTCAGAGGCTTGTAGCTTGATATTAGCTTAACAGTGTGAGGAACTGGCTGGTGGGTTTGGACAGCTCAGCAGCCCCACAGTACAAGTTACATCACAGGGAGCCTGTCAGAATGCCTTAAAAAAAAAGACTTATGTTTACTGGTCCCTAAGGGACTACAAGTAAGTTCTCACCTTAATCAGACATTGGCTTAACATATCCAAAAGAACCTCATACTTTGTAAGATTTTCCTCCTGATAATCAAAGTAGCATTAAGGGAGGGTAGAAAAAACCTACCACTTCAGAGAGGATTCCCATGCCATTTTTATTTGCATATTACTGGGCTAAGCAAAATGGTTTGGGTGAACCTTGGATTTAAGTTTGCCTAGTTGTTTGTATTTACTGAAACAATCAAAACAAAAGTCCCTACATGGGAACAGTCAGTTAACTCACCTCTGCAGCGGTCATGAAGGTAAGGATCCTCTTGGTCTACTTCCTCATCTAAACTTTTAACTAATAAGAAGGTGAAATAGACATTAGAGAGAAAAGCAGTTTTCCTGACATAATAAAATGCTGTCTATCTAGGAAAAGATTTGGAGCAGGTATTTGTGGATACTTACACAAAAAGATACTACTGAAGAGTTACTTATTCATTTTATGAAACAGAAAATAGTTTTTATTTGACACTTAATTCAAACGCATATGCACACGGAGTCCACTTGACAAATGAATGATAGATAATAAGATACCTAGTATAATTGCCCATTACACATGAAGCAAGATTTTCAAATTTGAAAAAGTTCCTAACATTAGGCTGCTATGTTCAAGTTTAACCTGATTTTCATCAAATGTGCTAAGCACTCTCATCTTCATTGACTTCATTTGCAGCTGAGTGCACTTAGCAGTTATGATGGAAGTTAAGCTAATTTTATTTTTTCATTTAGATTTTAATCTAAAATGAAACTTCACATTTAAAGGTGCCCAGTCAAACCTCTAGCTGTCCTTGGTGTCCATTTGAAAACAGCACAAGAAGAGTTGCAACACAAATCATTCAAAAAGAAAACACATACATCACCTTCCCTGCATCCTACTATGACTTGAATTTGTGCTCTGATGTTTCAGCTGAATTTAGTGCGGGTATAATATACCTTGGTCTTTGTTAGGAACGTCGCTAATTGACCCTTCAGTGGCTTCTTGACCCTTGACACAGCAAGCTCTGAACACCTGCCCACACTGGTATCCTATCAGCTGGCTCTGCTCACAGCTCTGTCCTTGAACTTGGGCCATCTTTCCCAGCAAGCAACAGTAACAGCATTTCTGTCAAAACAAAAAACTGACAGTAAGAGAAATCCCTAGCCTTAGCAATAAGATTTTTGCCACTGACTTCAATGGGGCTAGGATTTCTGTCCCGTGTTTATAGAAAATGGGCAGCCAAAGTTTTCACACCCTGATGTTCAAAAGCCCTCCTGTGTTTCATTAGCTAGATCTCACAACATTTGTGTGGGTCTGAATCAGGCCCTCAAAGAGAAGGGATGGAAGCCAAATCCAAGCCCTAGAATCAATCCCCATGATCTTTCATGGGGTAGGATAGGAAGGCAAGAATGATCCATGTACAAATGTTGAAGTGACTTCCCCTCCCTCAAATGAACTGACCCAAATCTCCAGTTCTGAACAACACCAAACTGTGAGATTCCTCAAAACCCTAAATCCCATTTTAAGGCTTGAGCTCCACTTCTAATTTAAAACAGATTTTATTTGTCATAGTGAAGATGAAATAAACTATGTACTTGCCTGCCCTCCCACCTTACCCCCAAATTCTCACTTTAGAAAAGCAAATGGTCTTAAAATTAGCAGACCATAAAGACATGAAAGAAAGCACTATTCCATATAGACAAACTATGATTTAAAAGGTTCTAAAAAAGAAAAAAAATCCTTATATTGGAACATAACATTTTAACATAATATTATCACTTGTATATTGGTATCATCCAGATCCGGGTTTCTTAAACTGTGTTCCGTGGCGCACTGGTGGGCCGTGAGGTGTTCTTCATAAAAAAAAATTATTGTTTGGCGTTTCTCCATCTTAAAAATTTTAAGAAACCCTAACCCAGATACCTCAACTGAGATAGGAGCTCCATTAGGCTAGCCACTGTACAAGTACATTCTTCCTGTCCCACAGAATCTACCGTCTAAATAAACAAGAAACAAAAGCTGAGGGAGGAAACAGAGGCACGGAGCAGTAAAATGATGCAGTGGGTTAATGGTAAAACTGAGAACAAATTCTCCTAAGTTTCATCCAACCTCCTAAATGTCCACACATCTCTATATTAACTGTTTAAGAATGTCACCCCTTAAGAGACCAGTCCTGAAATGAGATCAGGTAGAGCCCAGTCATTCTAGGCATGATGTTCTACACTAAAAGAACAGAGGCATTAGAATCCATTGCAGGACAGAACAAAGAAAAATAGGATTAATTCAAAACAAACTGCTATGTTGATTTTGTTTTAGTCTGAGTTGAACAAACATTGCCACATTGCTTAATTTTCTCCCCTGCTGCTAGAATGCAAAGGTGAAATTTGGTTCACTGCAACCAGCGTCTGCCAACTACTGCTGTGAAGTAAAAGGCAGATTAAAATTTTTACTTTAGAAATTACTTTTATAATTGTTTTTCAGCTCAAAGGAAATAGCCTGAACCATTTAAAAATTAAATAAAAACACAGCTGGAACATAAAATAACTACTCATTATGGAAGTTAATGGCCTAAATCCCTTGTGTAGTTTCAAGAAGCCATTTCAGACAAAAAACTCAAAATAGTACATTTCTCCCAAACACCTGAGATACGTGCCGGCTACCTCCTCTCCTCAACCATGTACATAATTGTATGTGTATTTCTTCCTTTTATACTGTAATGAAGAATTAATTCCTTTAAAGTCTGGAGCAGCATAAGGATAAAACAAAGAGATCAACTTTTCCTTTTCTCCCTCCCTTTCTTTACCTTTGGAAGAGGAAGATACTCATAAATATCCTACCTTGTGCTTCATCTTTTTATGTCAAATGCCTGAGCCTTATTCTCAATGTATCTCATGCATTTCCATCTTCTTTTCTGGGTAACTTTAGATACAGGGAGTTGTTGAAACTTCTGATGAGTCTTGGTATTTGTCATAGATTCACTCTACTTAATACCTTGTACCATAGGCGCTTACCCGCACCACCTGGCACATTTCCTGATCACACGGCCACAGTCCCTGGCAGCAGAGCCCAAGTAGGAAGTAAAAGCTGCCTTCCTAGCCAAGCTCTCTCAGGTAGCTGCTGGATTGCAAAGCTGCAACCAAGAGGGGCTGCTGTTAGAACCAATTTCTACCCAATCCCTACCCAGGCTCCCACTCAGTGGGGAAAGCAGCAGAATGTGCCACAAGTGGGAGAGTGTTCCCCTTGCAGGTAATGTAGGGCAGGATGAGTGTGGTAATCCTGGGCTGGGCACAGGGGGCAAAGGCCACACTTCACATCTCCTTTAAATTATGTCCCCTCCCCAGTATGGGGAGGCACCAGTATGGTGGGGTACTCTCAGGGTACAAGGCAGTGCAGGGTTGGAGTGGGGCCTGGGAAGGAGCAGGGGTGGAGTATCTCCTAGAAAGCTGGTTCCATGTGCCTTATATTTTCCAGGAGCATATGATTTCAAAAGCATTTAGACCTCTGTCTATATACAGGGTGGATTTCCGGACTTCACATCTGTATGTTAAGGTGAAAATTATATTTAAGATGAAGATTCACAGTTTAGTCTTTAAGTTGTAGATTTTTTTTTAATGATCAAATCTTTTGTTTAAGCTGGTGAATGAATTCAGCTGCCACCATGCCACTTCCCAACATTATTTCCTTATGGATAGCCTCACTTACTTTCACATTACTGCCAAGCCATGTCAACTGACTCACTGCTTATATTCAAAAATTATTTTTGAGTTGTGAGTTGCTGGGGTTCTCATTAGATTTGTTTCATAATTGATTAATCCCACCTTTCTTGCAATGATGGACAGTCTTTCAGTTTTTATTTGCATGTTGGTAGAGCTGTCCCTTAGCAGATCAATAGTATCACCAAAATCTGCATCTTCTAGTGGACTGTTGCTAACTATGTGATGCCTGTGCTGTATCCATTTACACTTTTTCCTCATAAGAAGTTAATGGCAATCTGAACAGGAGAGGAAATAGAATGAATCTTTGTTTGACACCAGTGTTTATGTTAAACTATTTCTTATGCCTGTGTTTAACTGTGCATTCTTCACCTTGCCATAAAGCTTTAATGTTACTATTTTGTTTGCACAGCTTTCCACTTCAAGATTTCCAGAGTGAAATAGGATGGAGGCTGTCAGGTGTTTTCTTAATATATATTAAGTTTATAAATATTTTTTCTCCATTTGATGCACTCTTCAAAGAGCATGTTTAGGATGAAAATCCAGTTGATTCCTGATCTTCCAAAGCAAAATCCAGCTCATCTTCCATTAGTTTTGCCTGACCTGCTTCCTTTATTCTACTTAAGACGATACCTCAGGAGATTTACCGAAAGAAACGTAATACCTCATCAGTTATTGTAGTTACTTCAAATCATAGAAATGTAAGACTGGAAGGGCCTCAGTTTACTTCATCCCCTCACAATGAAACAAGGGATGACCATCTAGGACATCTTAGGTCACCTTCCTTTGACTTGAATACCATTTTCCCGCTTTTCCAGAGGCTATTCCTGGAACCATGCTTTGATGAAGAGTTTGAGGACTTTACTGACAGTCTCATCACAAGTTTTCAACACTTCCTCCATGACTGTCTTCACTTGCACTTTTCCCCACGTTTCAACTTTTTAAAGCATCTTTCACTTTGGTTTTAATGTTAGATGTTACAATGTCTATTTCTATGTGTTTAATATACTTGTCAAAATCAATAGTTTCTTGGGACATTGTTATATTTAGCACTCCTTAAAAGTGTTCTTCCCATGACCCTGTTCTGCTATTAGGGTCTTTCCTTCTTTGTTTACCTTAATAGGCTCCTGCTGATGTAAACTTGTTAGGCAGAATCTTAACAGAAGTTTTTTACTATTGCCTCTTTTAGCAACCACTTGAATTTCTTTGGTGATGTTATCCATATATTTCCTCTTGGCCTTTTTGCAATTTACAGCATTATCTTTTGTTTTATACAGCAATTTTGCTGCTTCTTTTTATGGTAAGAGTAATGATAGCTTTGGCTTGTTTTCTTTCCTTAGAAGAAAAATTTACATGTATGTATTCTACTTCATGCTTCATCTTTTATGTATACAATTTCACTACATCACAGTAGAATCCCTATTTTACTAACTAATTGGGAACTGAGCAATTCATAAAATTGAACATCTCAATATTACATTAGTAGATGCCATGCATAAATTAAAGTATAGTGCACTGTATCATTCTCTTCTCATCCTTCAAATCACTACATAGTGATTTCAAATGCACTCAAGGCATTGGAATGTGAACTTATGATAACTTTCTCTTCATCAATATCACTTTTTAAAGGGACAGTTCCTTATTTAAGCCTTCCCGCAGTTGTCCTGACTTTTTCTTTAAAATGGGCAAATTGACCCATAATTTCTGTCTTCCCTCCATCAGTACTGTGTAGGGATATTAAATTTCAATTTATCAGCTAATCGAATAGTTGACAAGGGGGTGTTCGCTATCTCACTACACCTCTGCCTTTGAAATGTACAAGAGCAACCTGCGGCTCTTGTATATTTCAAAGGGAGAGGAACAGCAATTGGGACCCTGCGCGAGCGGGGACTGATTTGGTCTCCACTCACACAGGTTCCCTGCTGTGCCTCTTCCTTTGAAATGTAGAAGAGCCATGGGTGGTTCTTGTACATTTCAAAAGGAGAGATACAGCAATCGGGACCCCGCATGAGCAGGGACTGCAATGGTCTCCACTCACACCACTTCCCGGCTGCTCCTCTCTCTTCCCTGTCCTCCCACCCTACCCCCACCACAGAGACGGTGCTGGGGGGAACCGGCTTTTAAGCGGGCTCCTCCCAGCACCAGCTCTTGCTCCCCCTGCTTTGGTGCCTCTGATACAGAGGCAGGGGTGGGTGGGGGGTAGCAACTAGTCAAGTAGTGACTTGACTACCCAATAACCCTAGGCTTATCAGGTAGTCAACTAGTTGCTTACTTCCCTTGTACTGTGGGTCCTGCTGCTAGCTGGATCCCTGCTTGCCTACCAGCAGTGATTGGGAGAAGTGGTCCAGTGGTCAGTGATGGGGCTGGGGGTGCAAGGCTGGAAACAGGGCAAAGATGCAGTACATTGGCCGGGCCACTCCCCCGGCTGGTCTGTCAGCACAGCCACTGCTGTGTATGGGCTCTTGGCCAACAGGGCTTCGCCTCCTGTCTTGTTTCCAGCTAGTACTGGCTGCACTCTGCAGTGAATGCACCAGGGAGCAACCAATTACATGCCACCTTTGCTGCCCTCCCATCAGCCCTTTACTTTCTCCTCACTATCCTCTCCCTGCTCTGCACCTTTGCTCCTCTAGCCCCACCGCTCCCCCATATCTCTAGGAGCGGGGAGCATCCTGCTCTCACCAACAGCCTGACAAGCAGGCTCCTTCTTTCTCCCATTGCCTCTGAATGGGCCAGTGCCCTTTGCAAGCCCAAGACCCTCTGGCCTAGAGTGCTGGCCAGGAGGAGCTGAGTCCAGCATGTGCCAAAGCCCCACACAGAGCTGGCAAGGTGAAGCCGCTCCACTACTTAGCTAAGCCCTGGAGTGGGATGGGGGAAGAGAAGAGAGAAAAAGCAATTTCCAGCCTTTTCTCTCCCCAAACCTGGAGGCTCCACAGCAGCCCCCAAGGCAGGGGCTTAGCACCCTCTTCACACACAAGGGAGCATGAGGCTGCTCTACCACTGAAGCACTGTCCTCTGATAAGCCACCTCTCTGGAAAGGTTCACTGAGATGCCTGCAGTCAGGTTTCCCGGATCCATAACCAGGAGACAGGAGACGGCTGGGTTATGTCAGGGGCTAGCAGCAGCTTGGAGGTGTTCGCTGCCACAAGGGAAGGGGGGGGAGAGAAATGAGCTCTGCAAAGACATAAACCAGATCATCCCTTCCTGCCTTCCTCCTCCCCTGCAGCTGGGAGCAGCTCCCCTCACTTCCCTCCCACAAAGTGCTGAAAAATTGCTGCTGACCACATTGTGGTTTAAGCCCTGATAGAAATATGGGGGAGCGGGGTTATGACTCTGCATCCCCCCCCATGCGTTGCCTTGGAGAGGTGGGTCTGTTCTGGGGGCCTAGCCAGGCATGGAGAGTGGAGAGCTGGATCAGTTGGTCAAGCCTTCTTGTAAGAGAGGTGTATGAAAGTGTGTGTAGGTGCATCTAGATTGGCAAGATTGAATTGTGCAAGAGTACTGACTTTGTAATGTACAAAATCAGTGCTTCTTGCGCAAATACTTTGACGTTCCCGCTCAGGGATAAGCCCTCTTGCACGAGAATACTTGCACAAGAGGGCCAGTGTAGACAGGCACCTTAATTTTTTGCGCAAGAAAGCCCGATGGCTAAAATGGCCATTGGAGCTTTCTTGCACAAAAGCGCGTCTAGATTGGCACGGATGCGTTTGCGCAAAAGCACTTTTTGCGCGAAAGCATCCTTGCCAATCTAGACGCTCTTTTGCGGAAATACTTTTAATGAAAAAACATTCAATTTCTCATAAAATGGGGATAACAACTCACAGAGGCACCAAAGAGACTATTTTAATGAGTGTTCATAAATCCCTCTGGGGTCCTCAAGTTCAAGGCACTAAATAAGTATTATCATCAGATAAGTGCCAGTGAAAACTTTCCCATACTATTTTGTCTAAGTACTTCCATCTATTCAGAAAGGAGCTTGAACACTTGTTAGTTTGAAAGTACAGTTCCGGCTGCTTGTCAGTTCACTTGTTGACCTCTTTGAAGAACTGCATTCAGGGGGGCCATCTGTGCCAGACCTCTGTTGTAATATGGAGAACTCCTAGGGACTTGGTGGAGACTCTCTCTTCATTTAATGCAAAGTGCCAAATATAGCAATCTAATTGTAATACTCTCTTTCACTGCCTCTAGGTCATTTGTATGCATGCACACCTGCTACCAATCTGGATCCTACATGCACTAATGACCTTTCAGGAGGATGGAGGGCATTGCTATACCCCTGATTCATATGTGGGCTCAAGACCAGTCCCAGTCCAGGTTTATTCTTTTATAACAAGATTTCAAACAAACCAACAAACAGAACACAGTCCTAAATCAATATCCATCCCCAAGCTTCAGGGTCACCCCACCCAAGGCCTCTGGCTCTCCAGCCCCTGGCAGCTTCCGAGCCTCTCTCAGCTCTGCTCCCATCTTGGAGCAGCAGCCAAAGGCTTGTTTGCCTGAGTCTCTAGCCCCACTTGCTGCAGGGACCCACCAAAGGAGTTAGGCCCACTTCAGTGTAGCCTTTGTTGCCTAGGGCTTAGCCTGTCCTAGCAGCTTACTAGCAGTCCTTTTTAGGCTCAAGAGTAACCAGTGCTCTTTAACTGGCTGGACAGGGTTCACCTTTTTTGGTCCAAAAGAGCTGAGCTCAGCTGATTCACAAAGACCAGATATCTTTTGACAAGCGAGGCCAACAGCTACTGCAGGCTCTAGAGCAAAGTGTGAAGGGGGCAGTTCCACTCACCCCTGAAGGGGCGAGGCCAATGGCAGAAGGGGCAAGATCGATGGCAGTCAGCCCTTAGTGCCACCCAGACCAAGGTGTGGCCCCTCCCCCAGCCATCAGAGACACATGGAGCACCAGCTCCCACAGCAATTCAAAGGAGCCTGGAGCTACCAGCCACGGCTGCTGCTGCTTCTGCAACAGCAGAGGCAGCTGGGAGCTCCAGGCCCCTTTGAATCTCTGGGCTCCAGGGCAATTACCTTCTTTGCTCCACCACTGTCAGTGGGCCTGCACGTGATAGCAACCCAATGAATTTTTAACTATACTTAAATGTTTGTACCCATGCTTTGCTACTATAGACATGGAAGTCAAAACAATCTGTAGATCTGCCCTCGTTTGCAGAAGCTATCAACAGCCCCATCAACACTTCAGTGCAAGAAAATACTGACAACCCATGAGATATTGTTACTGCCTGCAGTAAGACATTCATTCTCCCGCCCTCCCGGCCCCAATCTCTGATTCCACTTCTCTCGGTTGCTGGATCTCACTTCCATCCATCATCAAGGAGAAAACAACAACAGGGAAGTGAGCAGTTCAGAGGAAAAGCAGAGGTCCTGGTGTTGAAGGAGCGATGACTGGACCCAGAGCGAGTCTATGCTGTGAAGCAAGCCAGAGTGGGAAAATAGGGTCACCTCCCACTGGTGAAAATCCTCTTTAGAAACAACACTTGTAATCATTAAAGGAGAAGATTCGTTCTGAAGAAAGACATGAGCTAGAGTGTAAACAGGAAAGCGGAAACTGGGCAAGATAAGCATTTTCATCCTGGGTACAGAACGATGACGACCCTTAGGGCATGTCTACTCTAGAAAATTATTTAAAAAAAAAAAACTTATTTTGAAATAACAACTCCCAAAATAACTATTTAGAAATAGTGTGTCCACACTACAGAGAAGCCTAGAAATTAGTCTGAGGCAGGCTCCCTTACTGTGAATGTGCTGTCTCGACTTAGAGACCCAGGAAGCTCTGGGGAGAAATTACGTTAAATGACTCTGAGGAGTAGTTATTTCAAAACAGCAGCATTGGGCATCCTCACTACCTCTATTTCAAAGTAACTCCCTAGTGTAGACCAGGGCTTATTTGTCCTCAGAACTCTGGTGATGCTTCAGTTTAAGAATAAATCAAATTCATTTTGTCTAGAATAAACAACAACAACAGTTAATAGAGGTGCTGAAATCTCACCTTAGTGAATTTGGCTTCACAAGTGGAGTTATCATCATGTGACTCACATTCTTCATGTTCATTGGCCATGTTAATGCCGATGGAACAGTAGTGTTCCTCCAGCTTATTACTGCAGCACTGCTCCTGGACTATGCTGTCAATTTAAATGAAGAAAGACCAAAAGGGTAAAAAAGTGTACTTAGAACAAAACCATATACATCTGTAACTGCTACTAATGATGCACCAATTAGTATTTGTATTGTGTTTTAGTGGGGAAATGTTTATTATTGAACAAACATTTTCATGTTTATTTTTTAAAGTAGCTCAGAGACTTTATAGGTTCAGTCAGAAAAAGTGTCTAAGAGATACTGCAAAACTTTTCAATTCTGTTCACGTTTTCAACCCTCAGATTCATGGTCCATAAATGCTTTGTTTACATTTGTCTCAACCCTGTTTATATAATTTTTAAATCAAAATAGTTCCTCCAACTCCTTCCCATGGATAAAATTGCATAAGACAGACAAAATTCTCCCTCTACTGACATTACTAATATTTGCATGCCAAGCACATCCAAACAACTTCCTACACATTACTACATTATCTTGGAGAATTCTGTTACATTGTTAAAGCAATTACATTCATGCATCCCGGTATAGAAGGGGAAGAGGGGAAATTTCAGAGACGAGGAACAGATCAGTTTACATCCATTAATTAACATACTCATGAGTTGTTTGTAAGGTTACTATCTCACAGAAGACAAAATTACCAAACAGGCTAAACACAAAACAGAGCATTCAAAAAGCAAATTTAGAATATAACAATCGCTTCTTCAATCTCATTGGAAATGTTCTGTTTTTCATTAACCATAATGTACCAGAACCTTGTTAATTTATAGTTTTGTTGTAATTGGCTGAAATTTTACTAGGAACCTAAACCTTAAATGTGGAAATTTTAAGAGTACATGGCTACGGAATTGACTTCACTAAAGATACATCAGGGTCACATAAGTGTTCTGTCTCTGATTTACGGTGGGTTTTATCACTTTTCATTGACTCATCACCAATGAAACAAATTTGTTTCAGACTTTTAAAAACATATATTTTTGTGAGACAGACATTGCTGAAAAAAAACCTTTACTCGTTAATCAAAATATCAATCAAGAAAAGGATAACATGTTTAACCCAGAAATCCTCCTTTATCATCATCTTCCTCAAACAAATTTTGCTGAAAATGTAACACAATTTGGGTACTAAATTTAGATTAATTTCAGCAATATTTGGAACAGCAGACAATAATCAATTTGTGATAATCCATCCATCTGAAAAATCCTAAATTTGACAAGATCAAAGCACCTTAATTTTGCCCAACATTAGATTACTAGATCTATGAAGAACCAGAGTGGTGTGGCTTTAGTTAATGCTAGAATTTAACCTGTTTATGGATTTTCACAGAACAACTTTACAGTGAAAAACATTCAGGTTCATTTACTAATCAGCTATACCCCCAGAATCCTTTCATCTTCTTTATTATCCTGCCCAGAGGGTGCACTCTTAAACCAGCATGGATTTCCTAATCACCTCTGGTGAGCTCTTACTTCCTTTCATTTCATTCCATAAAAGCATTAACATTTAACTCTGGTCTTAAGGACAATTTTTTCATTTGGTGACAGTCTAGTTTAAACCAGAAAAAAAAAGCCGTTATTATCTTACTTGTCTTTTTCTTGATTTACTTTAGTGTGTGTTGAAATTATGTTTGTGCTTTCAAGTGAAGAATTTGTAAGGTTTATCTTAACATCAATCATTAAGCATAGAAAGAAAATGATTCAGCTCAAAGAAGTGTTTTGCAAAAGATAAGCTATAGTCTCAAACCAAATTTTGAAACAAAAACCATGGCTCTGGCTTTAGTCCTACTTTCATCCCTCTTATCAATTCACAGACTATTGTGTAACATTCACAGTTCACAGAATATTGTGTAGAAAGATTGTGCAGAGCAAGGACCAGTAATAATTTTTATTTAACATACATGCCATTTATAATGTGTAATGTCTCAGCAATGAGTGTGTAATGAGGTGGATTGGCCTCAGGCTGGCACCGAGAGACCTAATTCACCCAGGTGGGCCCAGCTAACTCTGCCCCTATCCCCACATAGGAATTGTGGTGGCCATATAGGAAGTATAAGAGTAGGGCTTTGCACCTCAGTTGGACCCAGGCTAGAAGGAACCAGATGTCCTTCCCAGAGTTCCAACAGAGACCACGACTGACTGTGGTTCCTGGTGAAAACGCCCCTTAGATGACCTGGAGAGAAAGCCAGCTTCTGTCCCAGAAGATAAAGATATCCAGAGCCGAAGTGGGAATTGATCTACTTGGCATGAAGGAGATGAACAAGGCACCAATGATCACAGAGTAGCCCCATCTGAGACAGGAAGTAGCCCAGAGAATCAAGATATTGACTCAGCTATTTTGCTAGGAAACAAGGCAGAGACCCCCACACTTCCCTGCTAATCCTGTTACAGGATTACCTGTTGTTTCTAGGGCTCCGAATTGGGACCTGGTGGAGCAGGGTGGGCTTGGGTCCCTCTACCCTTCTTTCAGGATTGGATGAACCACTTATTGCTTGATTGCTCAGCCTTACCCAGTAGGCCTGAGCTATAGGCCACTTAACTGCTTAGCCCTCAGACAGGAGGCCTGAACCACAGAGAGCATTCGGCTTTAAGCTAAATGGGTGGCTCCACTGACGGTTTTGTCTGCTCTGCACCCCACTCCCACCCACTCTCAGTTGGGGAGACGTGATCAACCACTTGCTCCTTGGTTTGACTGCAAGCCAGGATGTCTGATGGTGCTCACGGCAGGTTGCCCCTGGTCCTCCAATGCAGGTATGTTACAGAGAGATACATGCATCTTTGCTCATCTGACAAAAATATATTAGAGATACATCTAATCTAACATAAATCCCAGATCCAAACAGCATCAAACTTCATCAAATTTGATTCAGACCCGAACTTTGTAGCTTGGGATCATCTGCTTATTTTTTTAAAAGATGTTATATGAGTGTAAAAGCAAAATCTATGCTCATACAATTTATTATTTAGAGAAAATCTTGATGGCATGGTGGGATATAAATATTTTCTTGGCCTGAGTTTGGGATGGCCACATTACGCACAAGGTAGGAAGTGAATTACACCAGTTGCCCCAAATAAGTACTGATAAAATCTTTACAGCACGGCACACTATCATATATTTGACTATACAACATGTTAATGAAAAACTAGCCAAAGAATTTGTTTTAAACATTTCTTTGAGTCTCTGTTTTAATCCTTTAGGCTCCAAAACCATAAGCCTGAGTTCCCAGCTCAGGGAACGAAGAAAAGTTAAAACATGAAACATCTCCAAAAATGACCCTAACTTTCTAAACATAAGTGTTTTGCAAAAGATAAGCTATAGTCTCAAACCAAATTTTGAAACAAAAACCATGGCATGTGACATGTCAGATCCTTCCAATACTATAAAGTTATAAAGTGATATACAAAATAGTTAGGCAACTGATGTGCTATGACCACTACTTATCATGTGGACCACTTTATGCTTCATTGTTCTCTTGTGTTCTTCTGTCTATATCCACCTTTTGTCTCATATTGTAAGCTCTTTGGGGCAGACATGATCTTTTTGTTCTGCATTTGTACAGCACACAGCACAATAGGTTCCTGGTCTGTGACTAACATTCCCAGATGCTATCATAATTGAAATAAATCATAATATTTCCCAATTCTAGCCCCCAAAGGGTACTATATTCTTTTATCTAAAATATTTTTTTTATACACAAACTATTATTCATCCAGAATTGAATCTAAGCAGCACTTACCTTTGGACTGGAAAGAGGAGGCATTTCTTGGGCAGGCCAATTTGCAAAAATAAATGGCTCCCATGTGAAGCTAGTGAACATTTGGAATGTTAGAAAACACTCTGGAGAAAAGCGTGATTGTGCCGAGAGAAGGTAGTCAAAAGCTTGCGGACCCAAACTCCAGGATTATGACCTGTTTGTACCGGCTAGGCTGCTGGCCTTGCTACAAGGGCCAGGAGGATGCAAATGGTCACTGGGGAAGTGGCCCAGGGCACTAGAGCCAGTAAAGGGGCGTAGAGGAGGGCAGGACAAGGCTACCACCAGAGAGTCCTTAGATTGGGATCCAGAGTAGTGGGCAGGCCTGGGTTCCCCCCTTACTCCTTGAATCACTCCTTTCCATGAAGACATGGTTGATACCTCAGGGGCACACCACAGTCTATAAGGGCTAGATTTTGGGGCTGCAGTTGGCCACAGTGGTGGTTGAAACTCAGAACTGCTGATACTCTCCTGGGAAGAGGGTGTGGCCCATGCAGACTGTAGTTTGCCCTTGAGACAGAGGGACTAGTCTTGGAGGCCACAGTGGCAGCAGAGACACAGCACTGGCAACAAACTCCCCAGATAGGGGACAAGAGACCAGTGTAGTGGGCACTGCCAGAGGGCAGTGTCCCGAAGAAGATGCCAGGGTCTAGGAGTGACATGGATTCAGAACACAAGCGTGGACTGCATAGTGGGAGAGACACCAGCCAGAAGGAGATGCCCCGATGATGACCAGCCTAATTCCCTGGAACTACCAGCAAGAGGTACCACAGTGCTGAGTCAACCCCGTTACAAGCAGCATGGGCAGGGCCTTTTCACCTGGCCACAAGCTGTTGTGGTGAGCGAGGGCTGGGGTTGTCCTCTTTCCTCGGGGCAGCCTGCACACTGAACCCCTCAACCTCAGCCTCACCCCAGAATAATGATTCAAATGAAGAAAAAAAATTGATTTGACTTAAGGACCCAAGCAACGCTAGATAAATCTTCTAGTTTAAAAATATTGGGAATTTGTTAGAAAGCTCAAAAACTCAACAAAATGTATTGCTTCAGGTTGAACAAAATGTTTTCCTTGAACTTAAATAATGTTTTTGTTTTGATTTTGAAATGACCAAAGAGCCACCCAAAAAAGTTATTTGAAGAGTTCCAGTCACCAGGGATGTCTCCATAAAAACATAAGAACGGCCATACTGGGTCAGATCAAAGCTCTATGTAGCCCAGTATTCTGTCTTCCAACAGTGACTAATGCCAAATTCTGCCTAAGGAATGAACAGAACAGGTAATCAT